CACACACACACACACACACACACACACACACACACACACACACACACGCTATGCATGAGAAACTCAGAATGAAGTCCTTTCTACGTTTCTGAGGAATAGTGATACCTAAGGAACAAGAAACACCCGTACCTGTGTAGTAGCATCCAAAACCCTGGGATCAGAGGCCATGAGTGATCAGCTGAAGAGAGGTGTCCCTGGGCTAGAGGATCAAGAAGGCTCTCTGGGGAGAGGGGTCTTGAACTGAGCGAAGGCATGCAGGAAGACTAGTGGCCCAGAGAGGCCCAGAGGCAAGGATTTACAAGCAGACAGCAGAGCAGGTTGTAACCCACATAGGCAAACCCAAAATGCGAGGTTTGGACTGGAATAGAAGCAAGAGAGTTGGGAACTGATCTTGGAGACAGCACAGGTTCTGTGCCCAAGGGACCTGAGGGTAAGCCCTCATTGACTAGCTCTGTGGCCTAGGGGGCATTAATGATCCTATCAGAGCATCCCCTGCTCGTGTGTTTAGGAAGAAAGAATGAGACTGTACCTGTCCAAATCTGCTGTGGTAACAAGTTAGCCCTAAGGCACAAGCTCATTCTGACAGGTTACCAGCTGGGAGTACTGCTCTGGGTGGGCATTAGCGAACTCCGTCAGCAGTTCTTAGACAGGGGGCAGGGGGATGCCGGACAGCTGTAGGGCCAAGACCAAGTCCTCTGTGTTGTATCCCAGAATGCCCTGGGCCTGCTTGCCTCTAGTCAGTCAACCAGAGTGAGTCTCAGGTCCCCACCTTACTGCCTGAGGGCTTCAGAACATGGAGAAACAGCTAAACCCATGTCTGTCCCAGAGGACGTGATCCCAGCAGAGGAAGAAGGAACATTCAGGGGACTTGGCCCTAAGCCTTCCATGAAGACCCTGGCCACCTCGCTGTTCCCCAAGCTGCAGCTCTCCAATGCAGAGAGTCCTGGCCTGGTTCAACACAGATGTCAGGGAGTCATCAAGCTCACCCTCACCCTGAGGGTCTCTGCAGGCTGCAAGCCTGTCTGCGGTGTCTGTCAGGATGTTGTAGTGGCTAGTTTTCTGTTACTGAGACAAAATACCAGAGAAAAACGACTCAAGGAAGAAGGGGTTTACTTTGCCTCACCCGTCTGAGGGTCCATCATATTGTCCACAAGGGGGAGGCAGCTAAGCCACATTGTGTCTGAAGCCAGGGAGCAGAAAGAGATGAACGCCGGCCCTCAGCTCACTTTCTTCTTTTTATTCAGTAAATTCTATCAGGTTGACAATAACAGTTAACTAATGCATGGTGGGTGGGTGTTGGATCTCAACCTGCCTTTTGTGACCACCCACCTAGGATAGCCAGTGACAAGCCCTGAGGCTAGGGACACTTGGAGCAATGGGGGGTCTCCCCTCCATTCTTCACAGAGGTGAGCATATCTCTGATAGTCGAGGACTTGCCTCCACTCAGGGTCCTGCTCTTCCAGGGCCCAGTGACACACAGAGAGGACCAACAAGGACAGGCAGCCCAGAGACTCTCTGAGGCCACCGGGCCACGCTCCTGTCTCTGTTAGGCTCCACCTGTGGCCAGGCTCAGCCCTCAGTGAGAGGTATGCAAGCCTCACTTCTACATGGCTGTTCCGCACCATCTCTCTGGCTACCCTCAGAACCCAGAGGGCTTCAGGTGAAGCATGAATCTCAAAAGTTCTTATTAATAAAAACAAACCCAGAGCCAGGTATTAGGGTGAATGCTGAAGATCAGAGAAACAGAACCAGCCACATCCAACCTCACCTGGCCAATTCCTCAGCTGATCTTGTTTCCTCAGACTGAAAGCCTCTGAATCCTCATCCGAATGGATCTCAGCTGAACTG